TATAATTGACATACCGTATTATATGGGTTCCATGCATACAACATAGAGATTCCACATTTGTATGAATTGGGAACTAATCACAGTCAGTCTAATTACCATCTGTCACCATACAAAGTTGATGCAATATTATTGATGGTGTTCCCCATGCTATAAGTTACATCCTCATAGCTTATTTATTTTATAACTGGAAGTTTGTACTTCTTGATCCCTTTCACCCATTTTGGCCCCCACTGCCCAACCGCTTTCCCCTCTGGGAACCACTACTGTTCTCCATATCTATGAGTCTCAACTGGTTTAATCTGCTAATTTGCTGGTGTTGGTGGACAACTATTACTATCAATCAGATTACTTTAAATTCAAAATGATAAACTGATTTAAAAACAACTCCCAATTTTTTTTTTAAAGATCATTGTTTTAAAATGACAACGTAAGTAAAAATACCAAAGCTTTCTTTTGTATTGTGTTAGTGGACTTTTTTTTTTTTTAAACCTAGTTGGGGAAAAAAGTTTCTGATTATCTGATAGATTTACTGTACTATACTATGAGTTACATGGAGTTGCCCCCTGCAAAAAAAAAAGAAAAAAAATTAAGGGAGTTAATACACCAGTCTTGAAGGTTTATAGTTTAGAGAAGTCAGGTAATATGAAATGTTATTTAACAAAAATAGGACAATATCGTTGATTTCAATTTTTTTTCTTCTCATTTTGTAGTTCTTAGTAAAGGCTTGCTTTTCATTTTCCTCCTTCCATTTGATACTAGAGTTTTTTAATTAATAAAATTTTGAACTGATGAGGGAGAGTTTGCAGTATTGCTCCTAATTACAAATTATACTTACTTGATTTCCCCCACCCATGAAGGCAAAATTGAATGCTTACTTTGTACTTCCTAATACTTTTCTTACACTTCTGTCATAGTACTTGCCACATTGCTGTAGTCTTGGCTCTCCTAGATGGCATCCTTACTTTATTCATCTTTATATTTCCAATGCTTAGCACATAATTGGCTGTATAAGAGATGTACAAAACTTAGTGATGCAACCCAGTGCAGGCTAAAAAGAGTATAGAAAATCTTGTTGGGGAAAGCCCTCTAAAACAATTGAAATGATCACTGCTGCCTTAAAGGGTTAGGAAAAGGAAGGTCATAAACAGAAGGCTTATATAGATAAAAAAATTAAAGGCACAATAGCAGGATTTATTTACAGGTTGGTGAGTCTAATTAATTAAAAATGGTAAGTTTAAGAATAGATAGTACAAAGCCAAATATAGAGAACTGAATACCAAACTGAGAAGCTGAAATAGTCCTTTGGTATTGGGTAACTGATTTGATTGATCAATAAACAAAGACAGTACCTCTTTGCATGTTGCAGAAATTGGCCCTGAATTTAAACTCCACGTGTAAATTTTGGGGAGGTAGTCTCCTCATTTATTGTTTAATTTATATAGATCTCTCAACCCTGAAAATTAGGTATTTTCACAGCTCATAGGTAGAAACAGGCACCTAATTCATATATCTTATGCTCTCAATGGTGTTCCTTGTAAACACCCAGTGAACGCTCACCTTCATTGCTTTGGTCGTTCTATTTTCTTTACTGGAAAATCCCTTTCTGTTGCCATGTTTTCAACTCCTACCCCATCTTTCAAGTCCAGCTGAAATTCTGTGTCTTCTAAAAAAGCTTTACCTTATTAGTCCACAGTGAAGTAATTTTTCAGAGTGGATGCCATAATCTCATTCTTGTAATTCCTCATTATGTGCGTCGTCTATTTTCAATTTAGACTGTAAGTAACAACTAACATAAAGCTGTACGTGTCATAGATGCCAGTTAAATACATGGTATTTTTCTTTTTCATTTTCTTAAAGAATGATTTTTATGTTCTAAGCAAGTATTTTGTAAGGGTAAAGTAGAGGAAGGAATGGATAAATGAAGGCACAAAATGATGGTGAAAGGCTCTTAAGGGCAGAGATTAGAAAGGAAGTGAGGGGAAATAAAAGGGAAGGAATAAAAAGGTATGTAACAAGGATTTTTTCTTTGGATATACTGATCTTCTATGTATATCATTTTGTTTTATTTTTTTAAGATTTTTTTTTATTTGACAGAGAGACACAGCGAGAGAGGGAACACAAGCAGGGGGAGTGGGAGAGGGAGAAGCAGGCTTCCCGCCAAGTAGGGAGCCCGAAGTGGGACTCCATCCCGGGACCCTGGAATCATGACCTGAGCCGAAGGCAGATGCTTAATGACTGAGCCACCCAGGCGCCCCTGTATATCTTATTTTAGTTGCTGAATGTCATAACCATTTTATATTTTTCCCTAGGGAATCTGGATGGCTTACTCAGGTTTATCAATAGTTGCTAATGTAATGATTTGAAAGTCTCCTATAATCTATTTTTTTTGCCATTAAAACGTAAATACTCCTGAAGGATTTTTTTAGTTACTATATGCTTAAAACTATAGTTTTTAGCTTTTGAATCTTAATAGCAAAATACATTACTGTGAAATGTTGCCACAAAGCCATATTAAATTTGGAGAGAGAAAAGGGGGTAATATCAAGAAAGATCTTTGGAGTAATTGCTTCCTCTTAAAAGTTTGGGGAGAATCTTGTCATTTATTTGTTTACGAGAGTTGAAGCTAACTCATTCTCAGATCAGAGTCTGAGCTTTTAAATGCTGAGTTAGGTAGTACATTCTTTTTTTTATCAATTTTGACCTATTTATTTTGTGAGCACATTTTTTAGAGATGACTTAAATCTCTCTTCTATGGATAAAAATTAGTCTCATCCAAAAGCAAGTAAATATTTACCTTTTTTTTTGCTAGCTGTGACAATAACATGGTCATTTAAATTTTTGTGCTCTGTACCATAAGCTAAAGAAGTGTATATTTTATGTTATTTACTTAGCTTTTAGGCAAAAGCAAATACCATTTACTGGTGTGGTAAATATATAGAAAGCTTATTCGGCAGTTTTTTAGTGACAAACTACCACTATCTGAAGTTTATTTGGCAAACCATTTTCTGTAAATAATTGGTCTGTTATTTTCCACTGCTGTTTTGATGGCTAGTTCAATTTTTCTTTAAATATTAAGTCTTCAGTATTGTTGAATTCTGTTAATGGTTTGGATCAGGGTAAGACCTAGAAAAATTATACCTTATGAAAATTAATAACTAGCTAGTAAGTTTGAGAGCCAGTATACGGTAGTGGTGAATAATTTGGGCTCTGGATTTGGAGAAATGGGTTCTAAATACATTTCTGCCACTGTGCAGTTTTGGGAAGCTTCTTGACCTATCTGAACTCCTGTTTCATTTATATATATAGAAATTCATATTTCCAGGATATGTCATTAAATTATGGTAGTCCTGTTTGTTAGTTTTTAAAAACTTTGGCATGAAATTGATACATTTTAAGGTTGACTTTAAAATCTAAAAGTTGTTGTAACAGTTTTGAAAGCAAGTTTAAATGATACTAATACCAACATTAATGTTTCTTGTAGGGGAAATTTTATATGTGCATGTATAACTGTTCATGTTCTGTGAACCAACTCTGTATTCTGTTGTCTTTTAAGATAGAAATATATGGGCCACTAATAATAGGGAAGTAATTATATTAGGAAATAATTAAGTACATATGGTCTTACTGAAGTATGGAACTATTAAGTAATCTTTGGGTAATCCAGGAAATATTTAGATACCTAGAAAACTCTTTTTAACAGTATAAAAACAATTTTAAACAGACTTGAGTTCTGTGACAGTATTTTACAAAAGTAATGTATACAGTTTTCCCATGAAACTTGCCATTATACTATGGCTAGTCCAGAATTGTTCTTGATTAAATTCTAAAATTAAGAAAATGAGTATTCCATCCTTCCTTTTTCTTTACTTTTCTCTTTTGCTTTCTTGAAATACAGATAGTCTTTTCCAGAGTATTTTATACACCCCCCACACGCATGTATGTACTTCTTCGTCCCGTTTTAATAGGTGGGGAAATCTGTTTTACCTTGGATCTGTAATCTTTGTAACATCACTGTAATATAGTCATTGATGTTCAGAATATTGAAATGTGTTATAGTTTCAGAGCTAAAAATAAAAGACATAATAAGTTCATTATAGTTTGTTTACTTGAAAGCTTTTCAGTGGCTAGGATAGGAAAAAATTCCTTTTTTGTTTAAATGGTTAATTATAGCATCTTATACTAGTTAATTAGTTAATTAAGATTTTAATGTATTTTTTTATGGTAAAAAATTTTATTCTAACAGCTTCTTTGTGATTTGTGGCATTTGGTCTATATATGTAAGCCTAGAGCACTTTAGAAATATTAACTGCAGTTACCATCAGTTGAGTACTTAACTCTCTGCCAGTCATCATTCTAAATGTATTGAATGTTTCCAATCAACTGATCTTCACAACAAACAGCCCAGTGAGGTAGACACTATTATCTCCTCTCAGATGAGGAAACTGAACCATGGAAAGGTTCTTTAGCTTATCCAAGATGACTCAGCTAGTAAGTATTATAGCTAGGATTCAAAACTGGTACACTAATCTTTATTGTCCGGTATGTAATTGCTGTCTGCCCCAGATTTTACAATCAGGTTAACTATTTTAATATATATATTTAATATATAAATATAGTCATCATATTAAAAAAAAACAAAGTATTGACTCTTACCTGAGCATTTGCTGAGCTCTATAATTAGTACTGGGTGTTGTATTAGGCTGTAGAAGAGGGTATCACCGTAATAGATGACTAGGTATTAGTACCACTAGAAATGGTAATCAAGATTTTAAAACCTGGGATTAAAAAAATGTATTCATTAATAAGTCATTTTCTACTTTTTTGGTGTGATTTTAGTAATAACTGGTTTGATTTTGGTAAATTAGCATTTATCATGACAGTAATCTTGAGTAGATCAGCTCAGCTGTAGTCTGATTCAATGATTATTTAATAATGGATATACCTAAAATCCATTAGAATGTTTCACAAGGATTAATTTTGTTTTCTTTTTTCCCCTTTAGTAAAATAAAACAGGGTCTGTTACCTAGCTTGGAAGATTTGCTGTTCTATACAATTGCAGAAGGACAAGAGAAAATACCTGTTCATAAATTTATTACAGTAAGTTTTTATATTTTTCTATCTTAAACTTTTTAAAAATCAGTAATCCTGAATCAATAATACAGTAATATTGAAATGTAGTCTTAAAGGTCATCTGACACTGTTTCTGTTATTATGTTTTCAAATTTTCATCATGCTCATTTCAAGGTAATCAGTGAAAGAAAATGAAAGAAACAATGAGAAACTTATCCAGAAAGTGGGTAATAGTGATACTAAAATGCCCATATACGTATTCAGGTCCTGGGTAGAAGTTTTTATATACAGGAATAAAAACTTGTAGTTGGAATAAGCATATACATTATTTGCACTATGTATTTACAAACTCTTATTTTTTTAAAAACAGGCACTCAAATCTACAGGATTGCGAACGTCTGATCCCAGGTTGAAAGAGTGTATGGATATGTTAAGATTAACTCTTCAAACAACATCAGATGGTGTCATGCTAGACAAAGATCTTTTTAAAAAGTAAAAATTTCTGCCAAACCTTTAATGGTGATTTGCTATGCTATATGGTGATTTTTCTTTTAAAACAAAATTGCATCTTTGAAGGCCAATGCTTCCTGTGTAACTGAAAAAAAGGGGGGATTTATAAACATCAATTGTTTGAAGAACGTGGTGCATATAAAGTTCTATAACACACAGGGGCTGAGAGTAGACTTTCTTTGAAACCGCTCTAAGGAAATGTAGGCATGGATGTTTCCAATTTACAGTATCTTGAAATTGCAATGTGTTTGAATAGAGCACACTCTGTCTTGTCACAGCTTAAATTGATCTCCAATTCATCTGCATGTCTTACAGGGTTTTTCCATATGGTCTCTGTTTCTTTCCTACAGGGTGATTTAGATGACATCATAAAATGAGAAGGCTTCAGACAGCATGTATTCCTTAGATTTACCTATCTCCAGTGTCTGCTTCTCTCTTCAGACATATTAATACATAGGCTTTTGACTACTTTTATTTCCCTCAGAATATTTAAAAACTGAAGACACTTTAGAGATTAATGCCTTGATTTGGTTGAATGAGCATGCTTATTTTGATTTTCCTATTTGCTTAGTATTTATCTTCATTAATGTGTTCCTACTTGTCTGATTTCTTAATGGTTTAAAAGATAGCATGTTTATAATCGATCCCAAAGAGGTAAATGGTATTTTAAACTACTAAGAGTTATGTAAAAACCAGTATAAAACTGTAAACACTACTGACACATTGGCTTTTTCTAGACCATAGGGTAAGTTGAGATAGATTCAAAGAATTCTAGCATCTCCCTTGAAAATTTATTTTTATGTATGTATGTATTTTTATTTTTTCTTTTATTTTCTTTTGGGGACTGGATGATTTGTCCTATGTAACTCCTGGGAATATCCTAAGTATTAAGTCATTTGAAGGTGTAAGTGTTTAACTGAGGTCCTTCAGAGTTTCCTGGCATGCTGTGAAGCGCTGCTGACATTTTTAGATTCTTGTCTTTTTACCACAAGGTTCTTGATTCTGTTAACTCAGATGTTAGAATTGGTGTTAGGAATTTTGAATCCTCAAAATATGTTTCTTTGTGGAGGGGAGGAAATAATTTCTTGTTAGCTGTGCCTTTGCAATAAGGATTATTTTTAGGATTCATGAGCTGTCTGAGCAAAGTACTCTTGATTATGGTGCCTTCTGAAGAGTTATTTTGGTGTATCTGAGAATGAAGTTGTCAAAGAGATGGTAGGTAGATATGTTGATAATAGGTATGAGGAATTGCTTTGGAATTTTAAATGAAAGTAGTATTTTATACCTTTTTAGTCTGTTTAAAATTTTTTTGTGCTTTATAAACATGTTGCTATGTTTAAATATGAAATTAAAAGTAACTTAAATATACTGATTATGAAGCCAGGAAACATAATCATACAATTTTCTGCTTATAATTATATAAAATAATAGCAATTACTGTATTTTAAACACTAATCCAATTTTTTAAAAAAGTTGATGATTGTAATATAGGCAGTTCCCAACTTGACAAATGCTTAGTGTTTTGTATAAACAGGCAGTGGAAAAGTCTCCATCTATATGCATAATGATTTCTCTTTTCATCTCTAGAATGAAGTAATTCCAAACCTTTGACTATTAACCTTTTGGGGTCACCTAGAAAGGTGATTGCTCCAGAGAATTTTTTACAAATAAGAAGTTTTCTAGTTTAGTGTTGCCTTAAATAAACTACCTCCTCTCCATGCAGGCGGGAAGGAGATGTTACAGTGGAATTCATTTTCTCAGAGAAATAATTTATAAAGGTGGATAGGTTTGGTTGAAGTCAGTGTGTTGATAATTTTACGTAAAAAACATTGTTGGTTAATATATTTAGCCTTTGAGGGTAATCTGAGAAACAACTACTACATATGATTTGTTTTTTAAGGGAAAATGTGTTCTAAGCATATTCTTCGGTGCATAATCTCTTTGAAAGTTGGAGACTGCCTGTACCCATCTAGATAATTAATTGTTTTTAATGCTGATAATCCTTTAACTGATAGAAGTAGAAAATTATGTTGAAAATGAATGCCTTATTTATGCATTTTTAACCATACAGATATTAGAGCTATTTTTATGTGTGATCATAATTTTTTGGTCTTCTCTGTTTTGGAGGAAAATGGTAGTCTTTGCATTTGTATATTGATTTTTTTAAAATTCATATCCATTATATTATCTTACTGATGAAAAATTGTGAGATACTTTCTAAAACATGTGCATTATAGTTGTTAATCATAAACATTTAAGAAGAAGGATTATTATTCCCAGTTTACAGATGAGGAAACTAAACAAAGCACGAGAAAGATATGACTTGCTGAAAAGTATGAGCCCTTCCTTCTCAGAATTCATTTTTATATAGGACTTCTAATTTTCTAGTTCCTTTCATGACATCTGTATTCAAATAACTCCCAATGAAAACATTTACTACCTGTAATTTTCATCAGTTTGCAGTAGACACTTTTTTGTAAGTAAGCAATCTTGGTAAGATTGCTTGTGTTGGCCACAGTAATTCACCAGTGAAGTCAGTTACCACAACTTTACCAGCACCTTCTAGTAGAGGAGAAAACAACAAACCAGTTTCACTGACTGTACAGTTTGTTAATTATAAAGCTTCCTTTTAAAAGTGCTGATTAATTTTAAATAGTTAAATAGTAGTGGGTTAATAATTTAAGTTTGGCAGTCCTCATATTTTTTCATGTATAACTTTTTGAAAAATTAGGATTTAGGTTTGATACAGATACAGTGATTTAAGATCAGGAATTGTCTTAACTTTTTCCTGCTGAGAAATGTTTTCTTTAGTATAAATTTCTTTACAACTCTCATATGTGCAAATTGAATTGCTATTTAAAATGTTAAATATTAAATCAGTGGCATGCTTAATAATTTTTAGATTAACATTGAAACCATGAGAAAATAATTTATCAAAGTTTATTGAAGTAAATATCTTATCTCTGAGATGTCAATTATTTCTATGTCTGTTGGTTAATAATGGAAATTAGGACTGTAATTTTTCATGTTGTAGTTGGGGCACATCTTTATCATTGGAAATAACCTGTATTAATTTAAATCAATATTTTAATTTTATACCGACCAAATGAGTATATTCTCTGAATTTTTAATTAATAGTTAAAAGTGAGATCTGACTTAATTTTAATTCGATGTTTCATTTAGAACAATTTTAATTAAAATACTGAGATATAAAAACTAAAAAAGAAATACTGAGTGTTTAGTTCTTCATTTCTCTATAGTTAATGCAAGTTATTTACTTATAGGTACAGTTTTCTTACCTATAAAGTAAGGAAATCATCTTTCTCAAAATTTTTGTGGTTGAACAGATGAATAGTATTTGAAACTTACTTTTTATTAAAAAAAAATGCCAGTTTGGATTTTTTTTTTCTTCCCAAAGAAGCTAATATAGTACCACATCATTTACCTGTGAGGAATCCAGTTACATAACTTCCCATAGTTAGTGGCTTTACTTTCTGTTACTGAGTTATTCTGACTCTTAAGAAGATGAGCTTAGAAGATCGTTTGCTGTAATCTATTTAAAAAGCTCTTCTTTAAGCTTACATTAATATATTGATTTTCTGGCTTAAGTCCTTTTTAGAACAAAGCAGAATATTGGTTCAAATCATTAGATTTCATGCTCTCCTATCCACGTGGTTTACCATTATCTTTTTAAATAGTTTTTAACAATGAGACCTTTTTCTATAATGTATTACATATCTTATAGTGAATAGAATAATATGATTTCATATTTTTGGTGATTCATATAATGTAAAGTTAATTACTTTATAAATAATTTTATTTAAAATTATACATTATTGTTACAGGCAGTTTAATAAGTATTTTATTCTAATCTGACTAAAGTTGATTTTATCTCTCTTTGTTAGCTTGGAAATACAGATTTTTCAAACTGTAATTTAGGGAAAATATGTTAAAATATAAAAAGTTTAGTTTTTTTGTGAAATACTACTAATAGTTATATAGGAACTAAGGGATATGTCTGAAGTTACTTAATGGATCGATAAAACAGGATCTCAGCTATGACATATTAAAATCCAATTTTTGTTAACCAAATGTCATGCTGACATATATTCTTAACCCTGGTGGGCTTAAGAAACTTGTCTTTAGATGCTCTTGATATTTAACCTGGTAGAATGATCTGCTATTTTATCTTTGACACAGTTTTTAGGCAATCTCATTTATTTCCTTAGCTTGTTCAACAGCTTACAAGAAACTGCATGAAAGACTGCTTGAAGGAAAGAAAATAATACAGAAAGTATAATTTATAGATTTTAGTTTATTGTATAAAATGATGAATTTCTCTATTGTTTAAATATTCTCCTAATTAATATTGTTATTACCAAGTACTAATATTTGAAAGGCACCCAGTAAATTAATTTTTTTCTCACATTCCACAGATGTGTTCAGAGCAACATTGTTTTGTTGACACAAGCCTTTAGAAGAAAGTTTGTCATTCCTGACTTTATGTCTTTTACCTCTCACATTGATGAGTTATTTGAAAGTGCTAAAAAGCAGTCTGGAGGAAAGGTAACATTTTTGATGTGAATATTTTACTAAACCAGTCACTTAATTCAGCTCAAGTTGAGGTATAGAAATTCAAGTTGTGGAGTTTTCTTGTGCTTTGCTAGTTAAGAAATTTAAGCTAAGTGAAGCTGCTGGATTAAATGCTTTTAAAATGTTTTAAATATTCAATTTTGTTATTTGGGCTACAAAGAAATATTAAGTTTAAGAATTCTTTTTTATTTTCAGATGATGGAAATGGCTTTTAACTCATTAAAAAAACAGTAACTTTATTAAGAATTTCTGTGAATGTGATATCCTCGAACATTAAATTTTAAAAATTCTCTAAATAAAATAGCAAGGGCTATTTTATTTTTTCTCTGTATTGAAAGTTTTTAGAAATGAAACCGTGCTACCATGACTTTGATTAAAGAAGTTCTATTTCTTTACCCTTTTTTTTTATTTTATTATGTTAATCACCATTCATTACATCATTAGTTTTTGATGTAGTGTTCATGATTCATTGTTTGCGTATAACACCCAGGGCTCCATGCAGTACGTGCCCTACTTAATACCCATCACCAGGCTAACCCATCCCCCCACCCCCTTCCCCTCTAGAACCCTCAGTTTGTTTCTCAGAGTCCATAGTCTGTCATGGTTCGTCTCCCCCACCGATTTCACCCCTTTCATTTCTCCCTTCCTACTATCTTCTTTTTTTTTTTAACATATAATATATTGTTTGTTTCAGGGGTACAGGTCTGTGATTCAAGTCTTACACAGTTCACAGCGCTCACTATAGTACATACCCTCCCCAGTGTAAAACTCAAGTCTTAATTCCTCTTTTAGACTGCTTTTCTAGGAATTGAGAATGCATTGGAAAACATCGGGATAAGGGAGACAGAAAAGTCAGTTAGATCTTACCTGTAATCCTCAAGTCTCTTCTGCCCTTAGTTTTTATGAATATTATAAAAAATAGACCACAAAACCATTGAGAGCTATAAAATAACTCTTCATTAGTGGAAGCTAAATTAAGATAAATTTTTTGATAGAAGAAATATTATTTGCTTGTATTCTGTTAATTTTTTCCCAATATTTTGTATAGGTTGCAGATTATATTCCTCAGCTAGCCAAGTTCAGTCCTGATTTGTGGGGTGTGTCTGTGTGTACAGTAGATGGACAGAGGTGAGTTTATTTAATATTCATGAAAACCAACTGTAAGCTCTCAATTTTACATAACAGCATGAGGTATAGAGGAGCATTTTCTGTGATGGAAATTAGCCATAGCATGATAGGAATTCAAGAAGGAAAATAAGTTTAGATTTTAATTTAATTTTTAAAAACTCAACTGAAGTAGTCTTACACTAAATTTTATGAGGCATTTCATCTCATTCACAAATAACAACAGTCTTGTTATTTGAGTATTTATTTTTCAAGTACCGCAATTACGGTTTTTCTTTGGAGAAGCAGACTTGTCAAAACATGAAATTATTCACTAATGAACTGACCACTAATCAAATTGGCTCCCATTTCTTAGTTTAACATTAACAGCCTCTCATTGTCTTTGTTGCTTATGCTCCTATATGCGCGGTGTGATAGTTAGGACAGTACAGTATGATAATAGTCTTTACGTCTGTCATTTGCAAAGTGAAAAGTCATTTGCAAACTCGCAGGATCTCATAAGTCCATGAAAGTGATCTTTGGGAAGTGCTCAAGCTGTAGGCAGAGCCATTGACAAATGACGTTCGGGCAGAATTATAAAAAGGATAATGATGTGAAGGCACTTCAAAGAGAATAATTTGGTTTTAAAAACAATAAATTATGTGAGGCCCTTGAAAAATTGATAAAGTTCTGGAATATTGTTTCAAGAATGACTTTTTATTATGCTGTGAGCCAGATTCAAGGATTTATTAATCATGTTATAATTTGGTTTTGTCAAGTCAGAAAAATTATGCCAAAAAAGAAAAACCAATTTTTTTATTCATTTGAAGGCTTAGCTCAGAGTTTATAATCTTTGTGTTCCTTTTGTTTTTTACTAAAGTATTTCTTTTTAAATTAAAATGTAACTTACATAAAGTATGGTATACAACTCCTAAGTGTATACAGCTTTATGAATTTATACCAGTGATTAATTTTATCCTAAATTTTGTTAAAACTACAAGTCATGTAGCCTCATAATTTTCAGCCTTAAATACCTTCTTTCTAAGTGATCTTTTTATTTTTACCAATAATCTTCCTCAAGTATTTACAGTAAAAAGACATATGGTTTAGCCCATTCATTCTTAAGGTATCTGAGGCCCAGAATTCATCTAATACTGGCAGAGGTAAAACAAATACCTGGGTCTCTTAACTTCTCTCCATTATGACAGGCTTTTGTTCTCATCTGGGCCTGTAAAATGTACTAACCATTAATTGTGTGTTGAATTAAATGTTGGGTGCTATAAAAGGATACAAATACATGAGAAGACGTGGCTTTATTCTTATGAACCAAATTCTAATATGGAGTGATAGCTCTGTTTTTGTATTTGGAGGAAATGGTTTATCATGTAATGGAAATTTTTATATTTGGAGGAAATGATTATAATGCAAGGCTTGCACATAATTTTTCTCTTAAACATTCTCTGTGTGTGGAGATGATTCTTTTAGGTTAGTTGTCTCATCTAGAGAATTTTAAAAAGTTAACTTTGGACTAGAACATATGTATTTTTAAATAAAGGTAATAAGACAGGCTCTTGTCAGGTTTTAGAATCATTGTCAAGTTGAAGTTATAGTCTGAATTAGAAATTATTCATAAACATGATAGGAAGAATATTATATATTTTTACTATCTATACAAATGTATTATATTCCATAATATAGTTGGAAGTAAGGTGGCCGGCTCTCTGTTTCCTTGCCCTTTGATGTCTCCTCTAAGCCCATTTTGCCCAGGGGTGGTTGTTAATAGTACCCAGTTGCACTATGAATGAGTTTCACTCTGAATGAATGAGTGACTGCTCTGTGTTGGGGCATAGTTCAGGACACCTGGGAATACCGTTGAATAAAATAAAAATCTCTGCCCTTGTGAAGCTTACATTATGATAGGGTCAGTCACAGTTTTTCCATTTTTAAACCTATTTTGTAATTCATGTACATCCCAGTTTGGAAACATATAAAGCTTTCTTTTTGTTCTGTTGTTTAGATACATGGTAATAATGATGCCATTAATGCCAGCTCTAATACAGTTTATAAAACTGGGTGCTGTTTATTTTAATAGGGCTGGAATTGTGAGTAGATATGGTTCATAGGATAAGGAGTTTATAGTCAAGGTCTCAGAGAATGGTATTGAATCCCAAACTGAGCTCTGTTTAAAAACTAACCACCATGGTATAGCCATGATTAAACCTATGAGTGAAAAAGTGGTGACTGATTTTTAAAAGGGCTAGTTCATTTTAATGCTTGAATACAGGTAGGAGTAAGGAGGGCCATACCCTCTTGGCCTCAGAGGAAAATTTTCATATTATTTATTATCTAATTCTGAACCATATTATAACCTGCGTACTTTTAAGCTTTTGCCTTATTTGCAGTATTCTTCTTAAAATTTATATTTATTCTTTAATATCCAAGTAAACTTGTGGTTGAATTATGGGAAAACCTTTGTAAATTAAAATTAACATTAGAATAAAAATAACTTCAATTATTCAAACATTTTTTTCCAGTTGATTTTAATTATTTTTTAAATCTACTTTTAAATAGGCATTCTATTGGAGATACCAAAGTTCCATTTTGTCTTCAGTCCTGTGTAAAACCTTTGAAATATGCCATTGCTGTTAATGATCTTGGAACAGAATATGTGCATCGATATGTTGGGAAAGAGCCAAGTGGATTAAGATTCAACAAACTGTTTTTAAATGAAGATGGTAAGAATTATATAAAAGAAAAAGAAATACCCCATTTTCCTATTTAAATCTAATGCCTGGGTGGCTCAGTTGGTTGAGCATCTGCCTTCAGCTCAGGTCATGATCCCGGGGTCCTGGGATCAAGCCCTGCATCAGGCTCCCTGCCTACCGCTCTCCCTGCTTGTGCTCTCTCTCTCTCTGACAAATAAAATCTTAAAAAAAATAAACCTAAGTTATTTTTAATTTTTTTGAAGAAAAGTAAAAACATTCTTACTTTTTTTTCATTTCTCATGGAGTTTCTGTTAAACCCATAGACATAGTTTGTTTAATCACCTACTTAAAAAATTTTTTTTATTTTAGGCCTCTCATACCACTGGAAAATGGACTAGGGAGAAGATGGGGCAGGGAGTAAGATTTTCTTTTCACTTCCTAAACACATATAGAATATCTTGTAGTAAAATCTCACAGTGTCTGGGATTTGCTGTAAAATAATTCAGTGAGTATAGCTGGGAGTGCTGGCTGTGATTATTACTACATGTTAGTAATTATTGAGGCTAACTTACATAGCTAGATGGGTGTTTATTCTTTCTACTTTTGTATTTTATATATATTTGAAAACTTCCAACTTAAGTTTTTATGGTGGCTGTGGTTGAAATAATGAATATTTTTGCTTTTTCTTTTTCATAACATTTAATATTTGAAAGAAACATCTTGTATTAAATAGTTGGATAGCTAACAAGTATTACTACTTAATAGGAATTCAAAAGCAAAGGGGGAGGACAAAGGTAGTTAGTACTTTTGATCTGATAGAGGTTTGATTTTATTTATTTATTTTTAAAGATTTTATTTATTGAGAGAGAGAGAGAGAGAGGGCATGAGTAGGGGGAGGGGCAGAGGGAGAGGGAGAAGCAGACTCCCCACTGAGCAGGGAGCCCCATGCAGGACTTGGTCCCAGGACCTGAGATCATGACCTGAGCTGAAGGCAGATGCTTAACCAGCTGAGCTACCCAGGAGCCCCTGGTAGAGGTGGTTTTTTGTTTGTTTGTTTTTTTTTCCCCTGATAGAGGTTTTAAATCTAAACACCAACCTATGTATTGGTTTCTATATTTCAGTCTTTCCTACATATGCTATCTTCCTCATTTTGTGATGAGTTAAGATAGAATCAAAGAAAGAAAGAGTGAAGGAATTTAGTGGTTGCAATAATGGTTGTGAGAAATATACTTTTGCATTTTTTGTTTGTGCTGGATAAAAAATGAAATGTGCCTTATACTTATTTGTTTTATTTAATTTTTTAAATGAAATTATAAGAATGGTATTTTCTTGGGGCGCCTGGGTGTGGCTCAGTTGGTTAAGCATCCAACTCTTGATTTCAGTTCAAGTCATGATCTCAGGGTCTTGGGATTGAGCCCCTCGTGGGGCTCCAAGCTCAGCAGGGAGTCTGAGATTCTCTCTCTGCTTGTCCCTCTGCTCCTCCCCACTGCGCCCTCTTTATTTCTCTAAAATAAATCTTAAAAAAAAAAGAATGGTATTTTCTTGTGCTTCTCTATTTGTTTTGAGAGCAGTTATGTTTTCTTACCTATTTTACCATAATCTTTCTGTCCTGATGCTGCATTTGATTTTATGGGCATTATCACAAACTAACAATTTCAATAAGGACATCATATGCAGAACTACCTTATTTATTAAGCCCAGTGACATCCAGATTTAATATGGAAATAATTAATATTTTTGTTCTATCAAGATTTAACATTTTACAAGAAAAAATATTTTCCCATATAAATCAAAATAGAATAATATAGATGGTTCTGGTGAATTGTGATTTATTTTGAGAGAGGTATTTAAAGAATAAATGAACAAATACAGGAATTCAAATGTGAAGAAATACTTGATAAACGAAAATAAATAAAATAGGCATGGAGTAAATGAACTTAACATTAAAAGTAATACATTTTTTTGTTCTGTAGATTTATGAGGTTGGAAATTATAATTTACTGACACAGTAGTCTATAAGAAAAAAATCATAAGAATGCAGGGATTTAGCACTGGTTTATAATAACTGAAACATAAAGTTCAACAAGAGGTTTTACCTTGATATTCTTTGACTTTTTCCAAGCCAGTCCCTCCACCTAAGCAATACCAGGAGTCTTAGAAGTAATAGGAAAATGAAGGCCTCACTGTAGCACTCCTTCCCAAGTTCTGCATAGATTCTATGCTCCAAAGTTTTGGTTTTAAACTAGCCCCAGATAAAAACAATTTAGAGGTCTTCTTCATATTTAAAACTTCAAAGGTAGATTTATAGTGAAACTGTACACTTTGTGTATGTACATGTGTCTGTGCATCTAGCATTACAAAATTGAAAAAAAAATAAATGTATTTATATTCTAGCTTTCTAAGATTGTGGTAAGTTGAGATTAATATGAATATAATAGATAAAGAAATTACAGTACTTTTTAAATATCAGTAGTTTTAAGTGCTTTTACAGCATAAAAACATTTTAGTCCTGTGGTGGAGAGTTGGCCTGACACTTTCTGTCACTATAAATGAGGAAATAAGTTACTTGATGGAGATAATCAATTTTGGAAACAACCGTCTCCTAGTGAAGTCTTCTTCTACCTTACAGTAGAAATTAGATTAATTAAATACTTACATAGCCTTCTTCCACTCTAATACATGGAGGAAGAAATACAAACTCTTATCTTACAAGTGTGTAATTGACAGAAGCCAAAATATATATGTTCATTTATATTGTGAAGGATTTGAGAAAGGGACTGAATTGTATATAGAACAAAGTTTGGGTGGTTGGATAAGTGGGGCACTGCAGAATTATACTCTTTATAGAATATACTTAATTTTTATATAGCCCTTTAAAATTCCAATATAATACTTAAAATATAAATATCCATATTAAACTGAAATTAATACTTGTTAGTTCTTTAGTATATGCATTAGCAACCTTTGACTTAGCCTCAGTTATGAACCATATCTTCTTAAGGTTCATATGCTTAGCAGTTTGAGAAGCTTTTGCTTGTATAATCTGAAAGAACTTTCTGCGTGTTTTGTTCCTTTGAAAAGAACAAATACTTGCTAAAATTAAACAGTTTTGTGCATTCTAGTTAAAAGTACCCATAAATTTCAGATGTTGCCCAGGTCCATTTTGTCAGTATACCAAGCTAATATATGTCATTACTTCAGATGGTAGCTTTTATTAATTAGCCTTAAGTGTTATTTCTGCTGTCATGTCATGAGTATTTTTTAATTAAAAATTCTAAATGGAACCTTTGAACTCTCCCTACCTACAGTGGAGCAGGAAGCAAGTAGATTTTTCAGTCATAGGTTTTAGACTGCAGTAATGCTGGTGTTATAATATCTGGTGTGTTTCCAAACACTGAGGTGTCTGGCTTTTGAGCCAAAGGCAGAGAGAGCAGTTGCTTACGTCTGAAAATTGTACTGTCATGCTGTGAAATGCATTAGTGTTCTTTGAAAGATCTTCTTGAATGCAGCTGATGTATTTGCAGAATATTTATGATTTAGAAAATATTAAATGCACACATTTATGTGGTACCATTTGGAATACACACATTAGCTGCCTCGTAAAGACCCTAGAGCCTAAACATGTCAAAAAACCGTGAAAGGACAAACACATAAACATTTGCACAAACACAAGTATAAACTAATTTAGCACGGCTTGATTTCCGTATTGTTTTCTGTCTGTATCTTATTTTTTTCAGATGAATAATATTGGAAATTTTTTGTTTCTTAGCTCCCTTTTGCCATGTAGTACCTTTCTTTGACAGTAATTGCTCTCATTCTGTGTGATCTCAGAGAAGGCAAACTTCTCTTAGTGAGATTTGGAATAGGCGAACTCTTGATTGTAAATACTCTGATATTATACTCCAAATGTTAAAATTTAGTATAATATCAGAGTATCTACAGTTTGGAACTAATCATCATTATGGGTAACCCAAAATGTACAGTGTTTAAACCATAGCTACTAAATCACATGGTTGATCTTACATTGAAGGGAAACTGGTAAACTGTCAATTACCTGATTTTTTGTCTTTATTTTTTAAAATAAAGAAAAATTTAACAATGTTATTGGGAGATACTTCACATGCCATATAATTCACCCATTTAGAGTGTAGAGTTCAGTGGCTTTTAGTATGTTGTAGAGTTGTGCAACCATTACCACAATCCATTTTGGGATACTTTTGTCACCCCAAAAAGATACTCTGTACCCATCAGCAGTGAGTATCCATTTCTCTCCTACCCCTGGCAACTAGTAATCTACTTTCTGTCTCTATAGATTTGCCTGCTCTGGGGGTGCCTGGGTGGCTCAGTCAGTTAAGCATCCGACTCTTTCAGCTCAGGTCATGATCTCAGGGTCCTGAGATCCAGCCCTGCGTGCTTAAGATTCTTTTCTCTCCTTCTGCCACCCCCCGCCCCCCCGCCGCTTGCTCTCTTAAAAAAAAAAAAAAAAAAGATTTGCCTCTTCTGGATATTTTATATAAATGGAATCATATGATATTTGGTCTTTAATGACTGGCCTGTTTTACTTAGCATATTATTTTTAAAGTGCTTTCATGTGTTGGCATGCATCAGTAAGTACTTCACTTTTTAAAAATTGCTGAATAACGTTGCATTGTATGGGTAATAATACCACAGTAATAATACCACATTGTGTTTAGCGATTCATCAGTTGATAGGACGTTTAAGTTGTTTTTCACCTTTGACAATTATCTATAATGCTGCTGTGAGCATTGGTGTGCAAGTTTTGTGTACACATACGTATTTATTTCTATTTCTATTGGTTATATAGCTGGGAATGGAATTGCTGTGTCATATGGAAACTTTTAACTGTTAAAGAACTGCCAGACTGTTCTCCAGAGCTCAGAGTTACTTAGTTATAGATTCATCTTATAGAAGGTAACTTGCTTAAAATTTAAGGAGACTAATAATGTAGCAGTAACTTAATGAATTCTGCTGGATTTTCAAGTTAGATATGAATTGTTCCCCCCAAAATAAATCACCACCACAAACAGATAAATTAGGAATTGTGCCTTCAGATAAATGTTTTCAGTGTCCTAGGAGGTTAATGTTTGGCATTTGTGCCATGCCATCAATGATAGTATAATCAGTTGATATTTGAAGTTCTATTTGTTGTAAGAATTAAGAGATAGGATTTTGGATGAACTTAAATTTTAAATAATTTTTAAATAAATCTTTATTGTCAGGAAATACAGAAAGAATACAGAATATAATTTAAATCCCCTGTAATATTTTTATCATAGGTATATCCCTTTATAGTGTTTGTTTTCTTTTTCTACATGTGTATGTGTATATTCATAAAAACAAAAATAAAGCACTTTTTTAAAAAGATTTTATTTATTTGTCAGAACACAAGTAGGCAGAGCAGTAGGCAGAGGGAGGAGGAGAAGCAGGCTCCCCACTGAGCAGAGAGCCCGACGCAGGGCTTGATCCCAGGACCCCGGGATCATGACCTGAGCCAAAGGCAGACACTTAACCAACTGAGCCACCCAGGCGCCCCCAAAATAAAGCACTTTAAAAAGCAAGAGTAGTTTCATACTAGATGTGCTTTTTTTAAGGATATTTTTTGAGTGTGCCATGTACATTTAAACATTTCATGTGTTTTAATTCATTCAAGAATTATGACTCACTGAGGTGTTGATGCTATTTATTACTCCCAATATACAGTGGGAAAATTGAGGCATAGTGAAGTTCAGTTACTTGCCCAAGGTCAAATAGCTAGTAAATGGTAGTTAGGAAATTTCGATGTACTTTAATACTACTATTCACTGTCTTTCGATACATGAATCTTTGTTTTCCTATATAATTACTATAGAAGTATATTATTGGTTTGATAAGTAAATGACTTAAATGCATTCTTTCACCCTCTCTTCCCCCCGCCATAAAAGAACTGTAACAATATCTTGCATAAAGAAAATAGATATGTTCACGGGAAATACCTATGCATCATGGAAAATGATATCAAGTATTTGAAATAATGCTATCGTTTTATATTTTATAGATAAGCCACACAATCCTATGGTAAATGCTGGAGCAATTGTTGTGACTTCATTAATAAAGGTAAAATGTTGACAATTCCTTTTAACCTAGTAAGTTTTTAAAAATAACTAAGGCATAAAGATGAATCTTGGATTATTTATGTAGAATTATGAAAAGTTTTGGTGTTAAAAAATTAATCTTATTGTATAAAGCTAAAATTCTTATTTATTTAAAAATAAATAATGTAATTTCAAGGACGAAATTAAAAACAGATGACTCATTGTAAGAGTTACTCAGTTACTCTTGACCTGAAGATCTGGCAAAAATTCAAAAAGAAGTCTCTGCTGAACAATAGGCACAGAGGTTTTTCTTCCTAAAGTTTTGATATTTTTTTCTTCCCTTTCCTTTTGGCTCTTCGAAAATGAACAGATGTAAACACAATTAAAACATTTTACTGTTAACTGTCATCAGCATATGTAGGAACAAATGTTCTGGTACTTTGTGTTAAGACAAAGTACATACCCTTGAACATTCTGAAGTCCTTTCTACTCTCAGGAGCTACATTCACGATTTTCATTTGAACTTCATTTGTTTTGCTTATTATCATAACTAAATAAGTAAGACTTATTCCAATTATTAAGTTATATTATTTTTCCTATGCTTTGTTTTACATTGTATGTTTTGATTGTTTTAGTGTCTGGTTTGCCTTAATAATTGGAAGCTCTAATGTTGTTTGGAATAAGTATTTGAAAATGATTTGACTGTGTAATGCTGTTTAGATTTTTATTTTCTGATTATAAATTTCATTTATATTCCAATAAATCTCATTTATGTTTGGAACATTTACATACTTTCTTCAGTAAATACGTGCTTATCTTTTCCAAGCATAAAAAAACATAACTACATGGCTTTGTAGATGCATTAGTGAGGACAGGATACCCTGGTTACACATAGAATGTTTGGATATAAATTATGCCTTTGGCCCAATTAATAAAAACTTAACCTAATTTGTATACTAGAAATCCTCTTTCATGAATTTTATATGTTCATGAGAAAAGGCTTTAAAATAGAAGACTACTATGATAAGAATTCTGTATGTTTAGTTGTTATTTTGGGGTAAATAGTTTGTAAGCATTGGCCCACTTAATCTTTGTAACTCTAGTGAGGTAGGTATTATAGCCAAGTATTATTCTTTAATGTAACTAATTTTAATAGACTATGGAAATTTTTATTTGCCCATTATAACATCTAGCTATTCATGACTGTTTTACCTAAGGTAAAAGTTGTCAGTTTGAGGTGAGAGAATATTTGTTGTAGAAAATTATAATACAAATCTGTGCTAGGCACAGTCCTTCCTTCAGGTAGCTTGCTTACCTTGTAGTGTGAGGTGGACACAAGTATGAATGGGTCCTTACAGTGAAATTCAGTAAACATTGTGATGAGAGAAAAGTCTCTTTAATAATTGTTTAGATTTGAACAAGTAACAAATTAGAGGTAAGAAAAGTTATGATAATATAACCTATGTATTAGTGCTTGATGAGAAAACCACTAGAATGGTTCCAAACCTTTTTTGGGTCCTCCCAGAAAAATGTTCATATACGGTGATTATAAAACTTTAAGGAGTTTACAGACCCTTTGAAAGCTGATCTGTGAATCCGAGTTGAAGAATTCTTACATTGGAGAAAGAATAACATAGCACACCAATAAATAGTATTTTCAGGAAAGGGCATACGTAAATGATAAAAAGAAGCCTTCCTTAACTGCATGCACGTAAACATCTTTTGTTTAATGATTCATGGGTTTCATATACTAGGCTGAAATGCTGCATGTGAGAAATGCATGTCTGGTCATACCACACCATCACTTCATCAGTTTCATTTCTCATGTTCAGTCATGAGCCATAAAAGTCACATTAAGCCACATTAATATGAAACAGTGAAAAAACCACATATACACAACGTAAGTGTGGTTCAGTGTCCAACAGTGCAAAAATTTAACTGAGTCATCTTGTATTTATAAATTTGATCAGTGATTTTAAATATATAAAGATTTTTAATTTACTGGCAAAGTTGAAAATGAGGCTTTGGGATATAGTTCATATTTAAGGTCACTTTCTTGGCATTTTTGTTTTGTTTTTAGAAGTGTTTCACAAATTTCTTTCTTTTTCTTTAATGAAGTTCATCTAAGTCTTGGAGGGGTATGTAATGTAATGTAATACTTCCTTTAGACTTTTTTTTTAAAAGAATTCAGAACTCCTCTAAAAATCTGTATGTTATCTGTGAAGGTTGTATGATCACATATTTATGTTTTGCCAGAAGGGTCTTCAAGTCCAGCCTTCTTATTTTATATAGATGCAGCGAAGAAATTGAGACTAGACAGGGACTGACAGCAGTAGAGTCGGGCTTGATCTATATCTGATTTGTTTGCTCTTCATTAGAATTCATTCTGCCATATTTAATTGTAGGTGTTTGCCGTTTCTCTTGATGACATCTTTGTCTTTACCTAGCATAGTTATATTGTCCAAAAAGCAGAAGTTTTATTTTTTTAATTTTAACTTGTACAAAAGATAAAAATTTATTGGCTTAAAAGTCACATCTAATTTTTAGTGGGTGTAATATCGTCATTCTTTGGACGTTAGTCAGTACCTGCTATCTGTAAGGAACTAATAACCCCTTTCTCAAGGAGCTTGCATTTGAGTACCCAAAGTGTGGATATTTTACCATGGCTACTAGATGTAAATTTTGTTTTTTAGCTCTTTTAGTTGATGACCTTAAGGCTATTTTTTCTTTCAAACTTCAACTTTATTTGGTGCTGTTGAAACATTCTCCTCATGTTAGTCTTCTCTCACCCCGCCCAAAAAAATTAAGTAGAGTCTTTAGTAAGACTCTTTATTTCTTAATTTTGTAGTATTGATATTTTTTCCTTGTAGGATTGGAGATGATCCTCAGGAAATGGGGGAAGAGGCAGAGCAAGTATTCAAAAGGATTAGCAGATTGTGGAAAAAAGGATTTGGACAGAAGGAACCTGTTGCATAAATTCTTAACTACTAAACTTATAGGAAAACTCCAATATTTAAAATTTTAAACAAAGCTTATATAGGTAAATACCTTCAAAAAAAACACAAATGTCATTTTGTACTTAAAATGCACGTAATTTTAAAAAACTATAAAATTAATATCCTTTCTTTTTCTTTGTGGTAACTACTAAGTTTAAAAGAATACTTTTTGATGCAGTTTGTTTTATCTGATGATGATAATATGGTTGCTTGATTTAAAAGGAAGAGTAAAAATAAATTGAAAGGAGCACAGTTAACTCTGGATGAAATAGCAGTTACGTATGTAATTTTTTTCTTTGCAGTGGTAAAAACTTCACCTAGTTTTAGTTTAAAAGTTAAGATCTTCGGATAACTTGAGGGTTAGGGTGGGAAAATGAGGACAACATATTTCAAGATAATTGCCATACTTCTGCTTTTTTATTTTAAAGGTAAAGAGTAAGTTACATTGTCTTCTGTGTTTATGTCTCTCTTTATTCTAATAGTATTTTCCAGTTTTTGTCATTTGAAGAAGTCTGATTTTTTTAAAATCAGAAGTATTTTTAAATTTAAAACATCAGATTTTTTTTTTAAAAGACAATTCAGTCATACTCCATGAAAATAAGATGAGTTTAGTTAGTATGTATATAGTGCTCAGTTTGGTTATGTTAGCAGCAACCTATTGAATGTGCTGTGAGCCACACTTTTAAGGTGATTTGTGGCTCTGGGGAGCACTGGATGATGTTTTGGATTTGGTGACTTTATCGTGTTACTGTTTTATTTACTCCATATTTATATCAGCTGAATTCTTTGAGGTTTTTTTTTAATGAAAGGCAGATAATTTGTTGCCAACAGAATTTTTCTCTTTATATTTAGGTTAATCTAGATAATACTAGATTTAGAACATTATTTTTTACCTGTAATATCTATTTTAAATCCTCCAAGTATTATTTAGCTTTAAAGTGTTTTCTGTGGCAAGATTAAAGAATATTGTATAAAATCATTTTCAGTTACTTCTTTTTGGCTCTTTTATGCCTCTTTCCTCTGTGATCTCTAATTTTCAGTTGGCTTTTACACCTCCATACTTTATGAATGGAATCAAGTGATTTACTTACAAAATAACTGATTAATGCATGAACTTCAAATGAATCATTTTTATATTAAATTTATTAGCATATGTCCCTGTTAACAGTAATATTTTCACCTGTGTTTTAATGTATAATATATAATTGAGTTCAGGAGTATATTGTAAAAACAGGCTATAAAAACACTCCAACATAGTTATATTAATTCTTTTAATAGCCAATGTTTAAAACTCTGTGCCTATTTATCATATTTTCATTCATAAAATTTTCTTCAATGAAATGGAAATTCTTTAACTTAGTGTAGGAATGTTTACAGAGAAATTAATTTGTATACTTTTCTAGTCTCTCGATCTGATTACTACCCTTTTCAAACAAAACATGGTTTGCTTTTTAAAAGTCATTTAATCTCCAGGATCCTGTAAGTCTTCTTTAACATATGAAAATCCCTTTAGAAACTTCCTTTATCTGTACCCCCCTACAACTTAAATATGTATTATCAGTCACTCCTCACAGTCACAGTGCAGCTCATTCTGCCCATGTGTCCTGTCCCCCTCCCCTAATAAAAACACTTTTTCACAACAACAAAAAATTTGGTGAATGGATTTGGTAATCCATAAAGTTCTCCTTTATTTTTTTAAGTTTTCCTACTGTACTTACTAAGTATCACTGTAACTTTTTATAAAATTAAAATAACATATCTAATAATGGTTGTACAGTGACTTAAAACTGGGATAAACGTATCCCTCATTATGGGAATTTTTTTCCAAGAGATAAAGGGGCATTAATAGTTTTAAGACTATCAGTTTGCAAATCTCAGTTTTCATATATGTCTTGCTTAAAATTAGTCTGCCTTTGGTCCAGATTTCCTCCCAGTTTTCATAAGAAGGCGTACTTCTCATGCATCCTAAATTTTACTATGGTGCACTGCTTCAGATTGTAAAAGCCTCTTGGGCACCAACAAAAGAGAACATTTTGAAATATTAGAGTCAGTGGTATTGAGGATATGAATCATTGTAAAGAGTGGGAACAGCCCTCTGTATACTAGGTTGTTTCTAGGTGTTTGGTTTCAACAAAATGGACAGAGGATCTAATCAAGTTGTTAATAAGAGCATTAAGTAGAATTTTTAAGGATGGATTGATTACTGTATGACTTTATATGTAAAGAACTGAGTGGTATTGCTATAACAAAACCTTTTCTATTTCTATCTACTCCTCTATTGTCAGCAAGATTTTTCAACTCATACATCTGTAAAAATTTAAAATAGGAAGAGTAGAAAATAATCTACTTATACATGAACTAATTAAAAATCAATTACTATTTCATAAAAGAAAAGAATATTCTAAAGTAATAGTTGTAAATTAACATATAGGACATTATTAACAAACTTTTTTTCTTTAAATTTTTATGAAAAATTTCAAACATATACAAAATAAACATGATAGTGTAACTAGCTCCCATGTACCCATTCCTGGCTTCTGATATTCATAACATCTCTTCTTCCACCCCTCTGTACGCCACTACTAGATAATGATGATGGATTTTTTTTACAGTTTACATTTTTGCTTTTGGGGGTTTACTCTATTTTGTATGTATATGTATGCTTTTTCCCCTCACATCTTTGCAAATAAACTTTATACAGTTATTTTTTTAGAATATAAAATAACAGCATTTTGTAATGATTATTAGAGCCCATATATCCTTGGGCTGCACAGAATCTTCCCAAGAGATATAGGGGCAAATATATTTTATTGACTTAAATAAATACTATTTCCATGGTAGATAGTAAGAATAAACATTAATCAAGTGCTTTTACTTTTAAATGGGGAAGTTTTGGGGAAAAACTTTCTTGGGTCAACAAAAATCAGTGAGATACTTTATTTTGCTTGTTTATATAATCTGTCTAGGACGTTTCAAGTAGCTTATCCAAAATGTTATATAACGATTGACATTGGCAAATATCAGTTGTTTTTTAAAAACAGCATAGAAGCAAAACTCAATTGTGCTTTAATTTAGTAAGCTACAAAGTATACCAAGCATGTGACCATAGTCTAGAGTTGGAAGGTTTTTTTTTTTCTTTTTATTAAACATGACAGCTAAATAAAGAAAATTTGTATTTGTTCTGTAGGGCACAGTTTAGGTCAGAGAATGAAAGTTCAGTATAACTTGTCTATTTTACATTGATTAATTGTATAATGGTAATTATACATGTAACATCCCAATGCAAATGCTGACATCCTTTTCCAAAAGAGTTGTTTTTTTTTTTTTTTTTTTGTGCTTTCTCAAAGGTTAAAAAGGTTTTTGTGGTTTAAATGTTGTTACATATTTTACAGCATTAGGATCTATGGAATATTTTGACAACTGCAACAGTTCAATGAAGTTGGTAATTTCTTCTTTTAATTATTTTTCATTGAACAGCTTTGGAGTTACATTTCTACATTTTGAATTCTGGTGTATTATAAGGAAAGAAAACTTAAAATATGTCAAAAAGGACTTTAGGGAAAATACATAGATAGTGATTACAATATGGCTGTAGCTAAATTATTCTTATCTTGTTTAAGCTTTGTTAATACCTAATTTTGATGAAATAGTGTGTTCTTTTCAGCTACTGATTGTATATGTGATTGACATCCTTTCTTAAATAAGTTGATTTGTAAGGTTTCACAGATTATCAGCCACATCCTAGTCCACTTGTAAAGTGGAGAATGAACCTGGCTTTATTCAGTTAAATAATTCTCTGGTACAGGTTTTCCCCTCATAATAAAATTTTAAAGTGTAATGTTTTGGAATTTTTGAGGGTAAAGTTAAGAAATTTGTTTTTAAATTTTTAGTTGTCAAATTATTTTAAACCTGTTTTAAAAATTAGAGATGTATTGTTTCTATTGGGTGCACATCACCAATTAATACGTTTGATTTCAGATCTACATCTTACTGCTTTGTAAACTTCGCCGAGGTAAAATGAAACCATTTGGCTACTTGAACTGATCTACGTTACATAGGTTTTTCCTATTGACATTTGCAGTAGCTAACATATCAGAAATAGAAGTGATGAAACAATACATCTTCCATGCTCTGAATTGGCATAATGCTAAATTCAAATGTAGCTAATTTTTTAGAGACTATGGAATATATATTTTTTTAGTTCAAGAATTGTTAAAACAAATGAGATGTTAAAGGTAGAGCTTTCTTTACACTAGCGAAATGTATTCAGAATGTTTGCATATACTAGAATTATAAAAGATTAGTTTTGCAACATAACTCATTTTTCTAACTCTAATGCTGGTTTAAGGTTATTTTAAAAATATAAGTAGATTGTTCTTAATTAAAAACCATAATTTATAAATACTCAATTCTTTTCTAAGGGTGAAACTTTATTTTAAGTTTTTTTAAAATATGAAATTAAATAACGTATGTTCTAGAATATTATGTGTTGTCATGAAAGATAAGGGGACTTGGGGTAACTAAAATTCTGTAACTTTGGGTTGGGTAAAGATATACTTAAAATAAAGCATTCCCTTTGTAATTCAGATCCATTCTCAACATATTGGTATTAAAAAAAGAACATGTAAAAAGTTTATGTAAATATTAAATTATTTTAGAGTATTTCCTAGTCTTAAAAGTACTAATGCACAATATATTAATTGTAATGATAGCAGTTTGGAATTTTGATATTATATTCACTTAAAACTTAACTGTGGAGTGATGCTTATATTAACATTTATGTCTCATTTCTTTGCAGCAAGGAGTGAATAATGCTGAAAAATTTGACTATGTAAGTGCAATATGGAATTCAGTTTTCATGTTATATTTATATTCCTTATATATTTGTTTTTTGACTACTAATACTTTCTAATTTTGGTTTATAGGTGATGCAGTTTTTGAATAAGATGGCTGGCAATGAATATGTTGGATTCAGTAATGCGACGTGAGTCTGATTTATGACTTAAGTTTTTTATAATAGGCCAGGCCTCTTTAAATTAACAAAAATAACTAGATTATAGAATTCTGTTTTAAATACTGTCTTGTCCCTCCCCTCTCCCTCCCTCTCCCTCCTTTCTCTATATTATAATACACAGTATACTTAGAATTAATCTGTTTCCCTTGTTGATTCTAGGGCTTACTTCAGTGAATAAATAAATGCTTTAAACAGTTTTGATAAACTTCTTGTGGGTAATTATAGAATTAGAAGGGAACCCAACTATACCTTAAATTACTAATAGTTAGGGATGCCCGGGTGGCTCAGTTGGTTAAGTGTCTGCCTTGGGCTTAGGTCATGATCCCAGGGTCCTGGGATTGAGTCCAGCATTGGGCTCCTTGCTCAGCAGGGAACCTGCTTCTCCCTCTGCCTGCCACTCCCCCTACTTGTGTTCTTTCTCTCTCTGACAAATAAATAAAATCTTCAAAAAAAAAATTACTGATATAGTTATTCAGTTTTCTCTTTGCCTGTAATACATATTTTACCTCTTTTTTTTTTTTTTTAAGATTTTATTTATTTATATATTTTGAGAGAGAGAGAGCGTGTGTGAGCCGGGGTGGGGGGTGGGGAGCAGAGGGAGAGGAACAAGCTGACTCCAGGCTGAATGAGGAGCCCATTGCAGGGTCGATCCCCACAACCCTGAGATCATGACCTGAGCAGAAACTAAGAGTCAGATGCTTAACTGCCTGAGCCACTCAGATGCTCCTGTCTTACCTCTCTTAATTTCTCTGCCTGGCTAAGTTGACTTTCACCCCAATTTTTTATTTTGAAATTGGCCAGTCTACAGAAAAGTCAAAATAATAAACAGTGAACATCTGGCTATCTTTCACCTATATTTTCTGATTAATATTTTGTCTCATTTGCTTTTCCTCAATCTCTTTCTTTTTTTAAATAGAAGTGTTTAAAAACATGTGTATCTCTCTATATATGTACATATATGTAAATATACATGTATATGTTGGGATTTTTTTCCTGAACTAATAGAAATAAAGTTATAGATATCACAGCATTTCATCCTTAAATAACTCAACATGTATATTCATAAGGACATTCTCCTACATAACCACAATACCGTCAACATATTTAAGATCATTAACATTAATTAAAAAATATCATTAATATGTAAATGTCCCCAACTGTCCCTTAAATGCCTATTACAGCCTTTTTCCCCAGGAATTAATCAAGGTTCATACAATACATTTATATAAGTCTCTTTTGCTTTATTAAAATAGAAGAGTCCCCCTGCTCTATACCCTTGCTTTATAAAATTTTATTAAATGGCTTTTTTGGGGGGCGCCTGGGTGGCTCAGTTGGTTAAGCGACTGCCTTTGGCTCAGGTCATGATCCTGGAGTCCCGGGATCGAGTCCCGCATCGGGCTCCCTGCTCAGCAGGGAGTCTGCTTCTCCCTCTGACCCTCTTCCCTCTCGTGCTCTCTCTCTCTCTCATTCTCTCTCTCAAATAAATAAATAAAATCTTTAAAAAAAAAAATGGCTTTTTTTGGGAGTGTCAATCACTTGTTTTACAAAGTAGGAATTAACTAATTTTCTCTGTAAAGGACCAGATAGTAAATATTTCAGACCTGTGGGCCATATAGACTCTGTTGCAACTACTCATTTCTACTATTTTGGTAGGAAAGCAGCCATAGACAGCATGAGGTGATGTTCCAAGAAACTTAATTTCTAAAAACAGGCAGTAGACTGCATCTGGCTATAGTGGATATTCTCCATTTTGAATAGGTCTGGTTGCTTACTGTGGTTAGGTAAAGCTGAAACAGTTTTGACATGACTACTAACGAAGTGACACTTCGTACTACATGTTTCAGGAGGCAAAAATTTTCAGGTTGTCTGCTGTACCAACTTTTATTCATCAGCTTAAGTATCTTTTCCAGGAAGTTTTTCATGAATCTCATCTCACCTCTCTTCTGTGGTCTCATATTACCATATTTAATTGAGCTTACTCTATGTCTCTCTGCCCCATCACCGCTATTAGACTCTGATCTCCTTTAGACCTGGATAGAATATCTTCCAATTCATTTTTGTATTCCTGTTACCTGGTAGATAATAGGCACTTGATTTAGTGTTTGTTGCACAGAGCTATATGCTAGGCATTGTGATAATTGTTGAGTAGTTAGTACACTATGTTGATTTTTTTTTTTAAAGGTATGGCAAGTTGATAAGTTTATTTTAAAAAGCTTTTCCACATTCAGCATTGTTTTTCTGACCATAGGAACATTAAAATATATAGGTAGGGGGGGACTGCCACCCCCCACTCCATGATCGATAATACAGAGTGTGTCACCCACAGTGCCTCTTTTGTCAGCTGCCTTCTGGACTCTTGTAGGTTGATTTCTCAAATGTACTGCAAATTAAATCTGTCTAAATTAAAACTCATTCTCTTCTCAAACTGCTCTTTGCTCCAGGGTTCCCATCAGTTGGTATCAAGATCCTTTCACTAGACTGCATTAGAAATCTAGAGTTTTGTACCAGACTTCATTCACCCTGTTTCTCCTCTTTCCCATCAGGTTGGAAGATTTGCCAAACTGCTCTCATGTTTGATCATACCTGTCCTTCCATTCCTGTCACCACTACCTAAGTTCAGGCTTTTGGTGGCTCTTAATACTCCAGTCTCCTAATAACATCAGTCATCCTTTCTTTTTTCCCTTTCCCAAACTGATGTCAGAGTTACCCTTCTAAAATGTAGATCTGACAAGGTAATTTGATTGAAAGCCTTGAAGCTTTCATTTTGTTGGCAATCAGGAGCCATTTTTAGCATTTATCAGTCTTGATAATGTGGTCCTAGTCTCCCTTGTTATTTTGATGTTTCTCCACTCTTTTCCATGAACCCTATTTCCCAGATACATCAGAATACGTGCCATTCTTCAGTGAAGTCCTGTCTTTTATACTTTTTAACTTTGTTCTTGCTACATGGAATTTGCCACTGTCTAGGCTTACCCCTGAAATCTGTTAATCTAACAGATGCTGAAAGGCCCATTTCATGTGTCCCTCTCTCAGTGAAATTTCCATGGATTCCCTCAGTTGGAATTGATTACTGTACTTTCAGAGGATCCAGAAGATTCTTCAACTTCTTAGTATATTTTTTAATGGTGGAATATTTGATAATTTTAAAATTAGCTTCTTTATTCACAAAATATGAAGATTAGAAAGGGCCTAGCTCATTTCAATCCTTTTATAGCTGAGGAAGTTAAGGCTAAAAGAATTGTCACTTAAATAACTTCCCCAAGACACATAGCTAGCCTATTGACAGAACTGGGATAGGAACCTAGCAGTCTTGACTCTTAGGTCAGTGTGTTCTTTATACTATACTTTGCTATACGAATTAAACTACAGAACAATCATACTCTTACAGAAAATAAGTAAATAGAGCAATTTTCTTTTCTTCCTAGGTTTCAGTCTGAAAGAGAAAGTGGAGATCGAAATTTTGCAATAGGATATTACCTAAAAGAAAAAAAGGTTTTTGAATTTTATTTCTTTTTATTTAATAAATTACATTAAGATGTATGTTAAGAACTCAGCAACAGCTTTTAAGCCACTACCTATTACTAGTTAAGGTACAGAAGTTTTCGCAGAACACTCTTGAGTTAATGGTATCAAAATGTTAATATTAAATTGATTTAATATCTGGCAGTATTCAAATATTTGACTAGTTTTATTAATGCAAGTTTTGCTTAAGGATTAGCCCATTTTTCCAGAAGTGTAATGCCAGACTATTGTTGATTACATTTGATATTTAAATTTTAAGAGGGTGGTCCAGTAACTTAGTTTATGAATTATGAATCAGTTTATCATTGTTAAACTAGTATTTAGAAATCTGTATGTGATGTACTTTTACTTTATTGTTCTTCATTATTTCATGTTTATACTGTTTATAGGTTATGTGCTATTTTCTCAAGATGAAACATTTGTGTACATTTTAAATTTAATCTTTATGTGTCTTTTACGTATGTGCATATATTCTTGTTTTTAATTGCCTTTCTGTTTTTTCAGTGTTTTCCAGAAGGCACAGACATGGTTGGTATATTAGACTTCTATTTCCAGGTAATTTACTTTAACTCTATGAATTTTATTTTACTTTATTTTTTTTTTTTTAAAGATTTTATTTATTCATGAGAGACAGAGAGAGATGGGGGGAGAGAGAGAGAGAGGCAGAGGGAGAAGCAGGCTCCCAAGGAGCAGGGGGCCCGATGCGGGACTGGATCCCAGGACTCTGGGATCATGACCTGAGCCAAAGGCAGATGCTTAACCATCTGAGCCACCCAGGCACCCAACTCTGTGAATTTTATATATAAATGGGCATGTCACATTTTGCAGAATATAGATATCTGTGAAATCATGGCTCCTGGCTAAGATAAAATACATTTACCCTTGACCTTCCAAAAAAAGCCTTCATGAAAGATAATTTCATGTCTTTTTCTCCTAAAATGTCATGCCTCAGAATGTAATAGTTTTTTTCTGTAAAAACATATTTAAGAGTGTCAAAAATATGTATAACTCCAGAAATTGGCTTGTCCTTATTATAAACTAAGTGATTTCTTAGCTTTTCAATTTTGTTTGGAGGATTTATTTGTTTCTTTATCAGAGGGTTCATACTCAGCATCTGAAAGAGGCAGTTTCTTGGTTGGTTTAATTCATTTTTGCAGTGTCATATGGGTGGGTTTTTTCTCACTTCAAGTATCTCTCCACATTCATGAGGGAGGTGGTCACTCACATAATCTGCTGTGGTTATAGAACTCAGTTTTATTTATTTTTTTTTATTTTATTATGTTATGTTAATCACCATACATTACATCATTAGTTTTTGATGTAGTTAGACCTCAGTTTTAAATAACCTTCCTGGACATCCCTTTTTTCTCCTTGTGTTTTCAGTTCAGTTCATTCCTACAGATATAATAACATTGGTGCCTCTGATGGTCTATAATGTCAAGCCACATAATAACAAATTGTTACTGGTTTCTAGTTAACCTTACATTTGTCTGTCTTTACTTTTGAAGAAGTGCTTGAATTTCAAATTCGTAGTAATCTTCAAGAATATGTAAGGGAGGTTGATAATGAAGTAGATTTTGATGGCAGTTTGTCACCTGCCAATGTGAAGAACTGTGAATCGAGAATCTAGACTGTCAATATAAAATCAAGGTCTAATCTGGCCACTTTTTAGCCATGTGACCTAATTTCAGTTACTTAGACCTAGTTTCATTATGTGTAGCACATGCTTGCCCTAACTTTCTGCGTTACCTTGAAGTTAATAAGAGATGATGTGTGTGAAATTCCTTTGAAGCTATAAGGTGTTAACATAAAATATGGCGTCAGCGTTACTTTTATGCAGTAGCCCTCTTTTCACCCTGCCCATATGAATTTCTTCCATACATTAATGCTTCTTTTCCTTTGGTATACATACTTGACTTTGGCTGTTACAGCCTAGGTGCTACTAATCTACTGTGAAATGTCTGCTCTTCTGGGCTAAAATCAAGAGAAGGCCATAGAAGCCTACTTTTTTGGAGAAGGGCTGCATGTAATTGAACATCCGTCAGGGTATCAGGAAAGTACTCTCAAATTGGGATTTGTAAAATTAGTAGTATATCATCTTATGACAAACAAAATTCCAATTAATACTAAGGATTAAATTGGGAAATGATCATTGGAATTTAAATCTATTTTAGAAAGACTTTCATGATTAAATCTACTATAAGTCTTTGCTGTCTGGGTCAGTATAGTAAGTAGGTTTTGTAGTTTTGAAGAAATACGGAAGAGATTTTAATATAAATAAACAAAAGTGAATGTCAGTCAAAAAGTCATTTTCAGTCAGTTTCCTAATGCACTGTAGCTAATTAGTTTTCCTTCTTACTGTTCCAGACCCCTTTTGTGCCTCTTGTACAGTCTTGAAGTATGAATAAGGAAAGCTTGCAAGTTGAGAACCTAGTCTTTTCCTCCTGCTCCCTCTTCCCATCCTCTTTCTGCTCTCCTTCCTCCCCTACCCCCCACAGTTTCGGTTGCTGTTAAGGAAAAATAAAATGGAGCATATTTATTGTTTCAGTTTTATGAGTAATTTTGGGTTTGCTATGATAAGGTATTTCCATTATTTTGATTATATTTAAATGTAAAAATTTCAAACTCTATTGTACTTGGACTTTGCCTTCTTTATTGATCATAATTTATCCAGCAGCCATAATCACTATCAAATAAATATTTGAATATTAATAAGTGCATTTTGATTTAGGCACACAGAATATCCAGGCTAGAGCAATCTTAGAGTTTTCTTACCTTAATTTTTTGCATGTTGCTACATAGGGATGCTGAGCTTTGCTATGGTGAAATGTCAGGCATTTTAGCATTTTTTTCCTTAAGTGGTAATTTCTCATGTAGATGCTATTTATCATACTGATGTCTGTTGCTTTATCTTAAAACTATACCATCGCTCCTTTTTCTTTTGATTTAAAAATAATTGTTAGTGTATCCAACAGAAAGTATTAATATTTAAACAACTTTTAATATCACTTGGGGCAATTACAAATCTTAGTGCTTAGGGGCTGGCTCTTCCTATCCTAGTTTTGCCATTAGAAGACTAGGTGACTGGGCAAATCAGGATAAACCGTAAAGGGGCTTGAACTTTGTTCAAATTAAAATCTTTGGAATGTTATCAAGTTATATTAAAATAATCCCCTTGGAAGAAAGATTTCAGATCTGTATGAAATACTAGATAGAACAGATTTCCTTAGAAGTCAACTGCAGTACAAAAAATGTGAACCCAGATTTTCAGATAGTTTTTTCTTCCTTTTAGCTATGCTCCATTGAAGTAACTTGTGAATCAGCCAGTGTGATGGCTGCAACACTGGCTAATGGTGGTTTCTGTCCAATTACTGGTGAGAGAGTACTGAGCCCTGAAGCAGTTCGAAATACACTGAGTTTGATGCATTCCTGTGGCATGTATGATTTCTCAGGGCAGTTTGCTTTCCATGTAAGTAATTGTTTAATCTTAATTTTCTACTGCAAGAAACTAGTCTGGACTAGTTCTTTTAAAAATACAGTTTGAACTTTGGTTCTAAAGCTGCACATTAATTTTTGAGAGAGAGACTTGTTTTCAAGGTTAATTTGTTACAGGCTTGGTAAGGAATAGAGTTAAGCACTCTACCAGATATTCTTTTTTTTTTTAAGATTTTATTTATTTATTTGAGAGAGAGACAGGGAGCATGAGCAGGGGGAGGGGCAGAGGAAGAGGGAGAAGCAGACTCTCCGAGGAGCAGGGAGCCTGAAATGGGGCTTGATCCCGGGACCCTGAGATCATGACCCAAGCCGAGGGCAGCTGCTTAACTGACTGAGCCACCCAGGTGCTCCTCTACCAGATATTCTTAAGAACTTGAAGTTTAATTTATAGAACCTCATCACTTCTACTTATAAGGCATTCCAAAGTACAAGGTTAGTATAGACCTCTCTGCTTTTCCTTGTTAATATTTAGCATTATGGTGATTATGTACCTCAAGAATTCCTTAAGTTCAGAAGGAGTACATAATTGTGATGTTTAACATCTTTGGTTATTGTCATAGATATTTTAAAGTACTTAAAGTATATTTAACAAAAATATACTGCTTTAAGCTCTGTTGTGCACTTGTGAACATTTTTGTGCACTTGTGAAATGTGTAGGCTTTCTAACTCATTCTGCTTATGTGAAGACATAATGCCCTAAAAAATTTTTTATTTGAAAATTTTAACAGAAAAATAGAGAAATGCATTTAATGTTACCCACTACTCAACTTCAGTAATTATCAGTACATGATTAATATTGTTTATCTTTATTCCCCACCCTTGCTGTAGTTTAATATGTAATTCTAAATGATAAGGATGTCTTTAAAAAACCATAGCAGCATTATTGCATTTAAAAAGATAAAAACATCTTTATCTTTAATAGCATCAAAATATTTGGTGTTCAGATGATCTGGATTGTTTTATAAATTATTATTTTCTATAATAATAGACTTGGGATGCAAATAAAGGCCATACACTGTGATTGGTTTTATCTCCCTTTATTATTATTTTTAAAATCTGTGTTCTCCCCCTTGACCTCTCTTTTTTCTTGTTATTTTTAGTTGAAAAAACTGGGTCATTTATCCTATACAGTTTCTCACAGTATAGATTTTGTTTATTGCATCCATACCATTGTGCCTTGTATCTTGTATTCCTGGTAAATTGGTATATCCCATTCAGGTGATTTGTTTTTTCCTCTTAGGTTTTGTGCAAGATTACTTCTAGGATAGGTAGTCAATATTGGAATGTTAGTAAGCCATTAGTGAATACTGCCCTGATGATATTAGTATTGTCTTTTATCACAGTTATTGTCAAGTGTTGCATAATGCAAATTAAGTTTTGAAGAGGATTAATTTGAATTACCATCTTACCTATTCCTCAGACAATTCTCTGACAGTATACCACAGAGAATCTTTTAAGAAGATATAATTTCTCATTGTTCTCTAGTCATAGAATATTTTTTCCAAATAATTTTTTATACTTTAATACATGTTTATTATAGAATTAAAAAATATAGACCAAAAGACTAAAATAAAAACATGCATAGCCCCACAATTTAGATGTAATCTACTTTAATCCTTAGAGTATATCTTTTCAAATTTTTCCATATTCAGATATATCTCAACTGTTTAATAGTGTTTTCTCATTTATTGTATTATAAACATGTTGAAAAATACTTTTCTACATTTGTATTGTTAGAATTCTGCTGTATGTATGTAAACCATAATTTTTAAACCAGTTCCCTTATTGTTGGACATAACTCTTTTTTTAAAATGTTAACATGAATATCCTTTTTCTCAAATTATTTTCAGGTTGGTCTTCCTGCAAAATCCGGAGTTGCTGGGGGCATTCTTTTAGTTGTCCCCAATGTCATGGGCATGATGTGCTGGTCTCCTCCTCTGGACAAGATGGGCAACAGTGTTAAGGGAATTCATTTCTGTCATGTAAGCATATTTTCTTACTGAAAATAATGGTCATATAAGTGGAACCATCCAATGATTCAGTTTTTTCCGTTTTAATTCCAATATAGTTAACATACAATGATGTATTAGTTTCAGATGTACAATATAGTGATTCAACAATTCTATACATTACCCAGTGTTCATCGTGATAAGTGTACTCTTAATCCCCTTCACCTGTTTCACCCATTCCCCCACCCACCTCTCTGGTAACCAGCAGTTCTCTGTAGTTGAGTCGGTTTTTGGTTTATCTCTTTTTTTCCCCTTTGTTTTGTTTCTTAAATTCTATATACAGTGCTCGCTTCAGCAGCACATATATTAAATTCTATGTACAAGTGAAATGATGTGGTATTTGTCTTTCTCTGACTGGCTTACTTCACTTAGCATTATAGTCTCTAGATCCATCCATGTTGTAGCAAATGGCAAGATTTCATTCTTCTTTATGGCTGAATAATATTCCATTGTGTATACGTATACACCACTTCTTCCTTATCCATTCATCTATTGATGGACATTTGGGCTGTTTACATAGCTTGGCTATTATAAATAAGACTCCATTAAACATAGGGGTGCATATGTCCCTTCAAAGTACAAAGTAGTGTTTTTGTATTCTTTGGGTAAATGCCAAATAGTATGATTTCTGGATATAGAGTAGTTCTTTTTTAACATTTTTTTTTTTAGACTTTTTAAGGAACCTTCATACTGTTTTCCACAGTGGCTGCACCAGTTTGCATTCCTATCAACAGTGCACAAAGGTTCCTTTTTCTCCACATCCTCACCAACACTTGTTTTTTCTTGAGTTTCTGATTTTGGCCATTCTGACAAATGTGAAGTGATATCTCATTGTGGTTTTGATTTGCATTACTCTGATGATGAGTGATGATGTTGAACATCTTTTCATGTGTCAGTTGACCATCTGCATGTCTTTGGAGAAATGTCTGTTCATGTCTTCTGCCCATTTATTAATTGGATAATTTGGTTTTTGGGGTATTGAGTTGTATCAGTTCCTCATATATTTTGGTTACTAACCCTTTATCAGATATGTCATTTGCAAGTATCTTCTCCCATTCAATAGGTTGTTTTTTAGTTTGGTTGATTGTTTTCCTTTACTGTGCAGAAGCTCTTTATTTTGATGCAGTCCCAGTACTTTACTTTTGCTTTTGTTTTCTTTGCTTCAGGAGACATATCTAGAAAGATGTTGTTATTGCCTGTGATCTCTTCTGGGATTTTTATTATTTCAGGTCTAACATTTAGTTCCTTAATCCATTTTGAGTTGATTTTTGTGTATGGTTTAACAAAATGGTCCACTTTCATTATTTTGCATGTAGCTGTCTAGTTTTCCGAACACCACTTATTGAAGTCTGTCTTTTTATTTATTTTTTAAACTTTTTTTTTTTAAAGATTTTATTTTATTTATTTGACAGAGAGAGACACAACGAGAGAGGGAACACAGGCAGGGGGAGTGGGAGAGGGAGAAGCAGGCTTCCCAAGGAGCAGGGAGCCCGATGTGGGGCTTGATCCCAGGTCCCTGGGATCATGACCTGAGCCGAAGGCAGATGCTTAACGACTGAGCCACCCAGGCACCCCAAGAGTCTGTCTTTTTAAACCATTGCGTATTCTTTCCTACTTCATCAAAGATTAATTGACCATATAATTATGGGTTTATTTCCAGATATTCTGTTCTGTTCCATTGATCTATGTGTCTTTGTGCCTGTAACATACTGTTTTGATTACTACAGCTTTGAAATATAACTTGAAGTCTGGAATTTGTGATGCCTCCAGTTTGTTTTTCTTTTTCAAGATTGTTTTGGATATTTGGAGTCTTTTGTGGTTCCCATACAAATTTGAAGATTGTTTGTTCTAGCTCTGTGAAAAATGCTTTTGGTGTTTTGATAGAGATTGCATTAAATCTGTAGATTGCTTTGCGTAGTGTAGACATTTTAACAATATTTGTTCTTCCAATCCATGAGCATGGAATGTCTTTTCCATTGCTTTGTGTCATTTTCAGTTTCTTTCATCAGTGTTTTATATATAGTTCAGAGTACAGGTCTTTCACCTCTTTGGTTAAGTTTATTCCTAGGTATTTTATTATTTTTGGTGCAATTATAAATGGGATTGTTTACTTAATTTCTGTGGTTTCATTTTTAGTGTGTAAAAATGCATTGAATTTCTGTATATTGATTTTGTATCCTGTGACTTTACTGCATTCATTTATCAGTTCCAGTAGTTTTTGGTGGAGTCTTTAGGGTTTTCTATATAGAGTATCATTTCATCTGCAAATAGTGAAAGTTTTACTTCTTCATTACCAATTTGGATGCCTTTTATTTCTTTTGTTGTCTGATTGCTGTGGCTAGGACTTCTCGTACTATATTGAATAAAAGTGGTAAGAGTGGACATCTTGTTCTTGACTTAGGGGAAAAGCTCTCAAGTTTTTTTCCCTATTGAGTATGATGTTAGCTGTGGGTTTTTCATCTAAGACTCTTTATTGTGTTGAGGTATGTTCCCTCTAAACCCACTTTGTTGAAGGTTTTTATCATGAATGGATGTTGTATGATAATGATCATGTAAGTGGAACCATCCAGTGATTCTATTTTTTTTACTCATTTCAGTAGTTTATTGATTGTTGGTATTCTGCCTGCCTGTCTGCCAGTTACTGGGGTAGCCATGGAAGTACTCATAGAGGAGCTTTAAATTGCTTCTGTCAGACAGCTCCCATATACTCATTCCCACAGAAAATTACATTTGAAACTGATGTTTTAATTGTCATGGTTTTAAATAGTTTTCAGTTTCTAAAAGCTCACCTAAAGTTACTAAACTTGGAAAGGTTTAAATTTAAAGCCCAACATAAATTAAGATTATTATAGTTTATTGTATCATTAATCTGCATGTTTGAATATCTTTATCCATAAACTACCTTGAAAAGTCTCTTTTTTGAGGACATAAGCACTGCAAAATAAAATTGTTACTACTGTTGATTAGTTCAGTATTTTATGTTGTTACCCAAGTTTGCTAATATTTCAGCTTCTGGTTTTATGTACATTTACTACTTAATGGACTCGAGTGCTGTAATTTTTCTGCAAACTTTCTCAGTTAAAATTCTGATTTATTTTTCAGTTTTTTATATTTTACAAAAACTAGAGGATGACATTGGATTGCTTATAGATTATAAAGATTATAACCAGAATATTGATTTATATTTTGTGTTGCTTTATGGTTATTTGATAGAATAGTTCTTTCCTATGGCTTGTTACTATAGTACCCATTTTATAGGAAATGAAAGTTAAACAATTTGATGGTTGAGCCCTAGGGTCATTCTCGTAAGCAGTGTTCTCAAAATTTTTATCCATGTCTTCTCATTCTGATTTCAGTTCTCTTCTTGATGCATCATGCCACTTTATTAGCATGCAGTGATATTTTCCATGAGATAGTAGTTAAGTTGGACAATATTAGTGTGATTTGTTAAAATACGAAAAAACAATGGCCAGTGAATAGCCAGTTTCTTACACTTGTTCTGTTTATTTACAGGATCTTGTTTCTCTCTGTAATTTCCATAACTATGATAATCTGAGACACTTTGCAAAAAAACTTGATCCTCGAAGAGAAGGTGGTGATCAAAGGGTAAGCAAAATTCTTATTTAGATTATTATGTAATATTTTTCTAAGAGAAAGAAAATGAGATTGACCTGTTTGAATAGATCTTAGTTTAATTGTTAGTGGCCTCATATGTTTGCTAATCACAAATGAGTGTATACAAGTTGTTGACATTTTTACCCTGGACATGGTAGTGTATAGATATTGCTGTTTTATTTAAATTTAAACTGATTAGCCTAGCAGCAGAGTTTCCCCACCACCCATTTTCCTGCTATTTTAAGCAATATTTTTAAGAATTGATTCTGTTAAAAAGAAAAAAGAATTGATTCTGTTCCAAGAAGACAACATTGGAGAGTGCTAGCTACATGCTATAAAAGAAAGCCTTGTTTTTACTCTTAATATTTGTCAGTTATACTCTTGAAGTTTATTTTGATGTGGATGGATATATAAATGGGAAAGGGATTATAGTGTTAGTGAAAGACCTTTCAAAGCCTCATAGTAAGTTTTAGTGGCCACTACCGATGAAATACTTTTCTTTAAAAAGTGTTTAATACAGAATTCTTGACACTCTTAAAAGTAATATTTATTTATCAGTGTGTTTGGCTTCATATTATTGCACATATATACTTTTTTAGAGCTAATATTTAAGAGTCAGGACTTAAATTTCAGGAACAAGATTTTTTGTCTTCCTAGTTATTCACTGGAACAAGGACTTGTTTTGAGTTTTAATTAAATTCTTTTACATCCCATCTGGATGTTTATAGTAAATAACTAATTAGACTTGAAGCTAATATGAAGCACTTATGTAAGTAGAAATTGTTTTTATGCATAGTAAGAAAATTTTCCTATTGTTCCAATCAAAGTAACTTCTAATAATATGAGAATTGTGCAGAGCCAACAGAATAGAAACTTCCATGAGAGTCAACATGAGTAACATGGAACAAAACATCAAATGGTGGTGGGTGAAAATGTTAACAGATTTTAATAACATTCATTGAAAAATACCGTTTTATAGCTTGGACCTTTCTTCACTCAAGTGCACTAATAAATTATGTATGTTGCTTGAACAACTAGCATTCCTTTGGACCATTGGACTATGAAAGTCTCCAACAAGAACTTGCTTTAAAAGAGACAGTATGGAAAAAAGTGTCACCTGAGTCAAATGAGGACATCTCTACAACTGTAGTATATAGAATGGAAAGTCTGGGAGAGAAAAGCTAAAGAAATGGGTTCTAGTTTCAGAATGTTCTTCATTTAACCTCTCAAACATCTTTAGCTTTTTTGCATACTATAAATATTTATTTGAGTTTTTTGTGTTCTCAACCTTGGGTGCTGGAGCCATAAAGCTTTTTTTCCTTTTAATTTTCGTATAAAGATAAGAGATTAAAAAGTGGATTTGTTGGTCTTTAAAAAAGTATTTATAAATAAGTAAAGCAAATTTGCTTTATTTTTGAAGATGCAAAAAGGAAAAATTCCTTTAAATTTTTTCATGGTATAATTAAAATTTTAACTTAATCCTCATTTTAAAATAGTAACAAATATTTAATTTTTTGGTTCTAAAACCCACACACTGAACTCATAAATTTCATTACATTTTGTATTTTCTTTCCCATTTTAAAACTTACATGATGTCTGTAGGGGCAGTAGAAAGTTATTTCTATGCTAAATACAAAACTAAAAAGGCAAAATTAATGAATCCCAAATTATTTAATATAGCAGTAGATTATAAAGTTAGCTTAAGTTTACATTTTATGCCATTTTTAGTGATAGATTGGCTTTAAATTTTTAAAACTTCATTTTAAATTTTATCAAACACTTCAAAATATAAATCATGTCTTTGCTTTTTTTATTTTGCAATTCCTCTATGTTCTGTCAAAATTGTCATGTACAGGAGTGTCTTATGTTACTAAAACATTCCAGCCAAAGAATTTCAGAAGTAAGATAATGACGTTTCACTGTTAAAAAGCTATAATGGTTACTCAGAAGGAGCAACAGTGGGTGTCTTCAAGTGAAATGTTTACCTGAACAATTTTATTTTCATATTATCCACGTTACTTTTTCTGTGTTATATTTAAGTATGAATGGTGAAGTCTTGGGTTTTAGCTTTTAATATTTTTATTATCCCAATAATTTCACAAATGCTAATGAATCTTTTATGATAAATTATAATAACATCTCATAAAGTTTGTTTTATTTGAACTCTTTTGGAGTACTTAGGAAATGAATTCAATCTGATGGTAGTAAGTATGCTACTAAAATGTTAGATCTGAATCCTTTTGTTTGGTTATAAAATGCAATATTGAGAATCAAAACTTGTTTTTAAGAGAAGGACTATTTTGAATAATTTAAAATGTTTAAAGTCTGTCTTGGCAAAGTGATTGTAAAATTCTGTAGGACCTATTCACACTTCTTCCTTCTTCCAAATATCTCTTCGGTTTTCCCCCAGTTTCCCATACCTACAAGGTGTTTTTGGTTTTTGTTTTATCCATTCTTAAACTTGTAGATTTTGGAGGGGCAGTGATGGGGTCTGGGGTCTAGAAGGAGAACTTGATAGTTTGGTTTTTTTTTAGTGTTATGGTGTATATGTGGTAGATAACATCTATGAAAGTAAATAATAGTGTAGTAAAAAAGGTTTCACTGAGTAATTTATATACTGGTGCAAAATAAATACAGAAAACCTGATCATATGATGTCTGGAGCTTGGGAACTATGATAATAGAAAAAGAAGTTCCCTTCCAAAGGTATTGGTCAGAAGCTTTTTGGGCTAACTTAAGTATTAAACTTAAATATTTAAATAATTATATGTTAAGTTTTAAAGGATTTTATGGTTACTTGAATATTTCTCTAATGTATAAATGCATATCTCACCGGATACTTCTGGCTTGGCCGTTTATAGGGGAGTGGTTTTTTTGAAGTCCTCACCTCTGCAACACCTTTAAACAGTATCATTTGTACTATGAGTTCCACCAAAGCCATTTACAGTTTGGGGAATGTCTTAATTGATAGATTGGGGAAAAAGTTTTATTTTTTCCCCTATGCTCTAAATTGTTACATTTTACTATTTCATTTGGAGATTGGTTTTACTTTATAAAATGAAAATTTAATATTTCCTATTGTGTCCATATGTATAGATTTCAAAATTATGTTGTTAATTTATGGCACTTATGTTGGTAAGTGCACACTTACCAGTGAAGTAGCATTATCTAAGCTAACTGTGTTTTAAAAATCTTGTTAAGGATGAGCATCCAGAAATTTTTGTAGGAAGGTATCCAAATGGAAGAAGAGGGAAGATACTGTGAATAGGCCCCCAAACTTTACCTTAAGAAAAAAAAAAAAAAGAAGGAAAATCTTTGCCAGATTTAAGGACATTCTTTAAATTGATTCCTTCAGTATTTTTAATACCTTTTCAAATAAAATTCTTGAAAAGTACCCAGTATTGTGGATTTAATGTTTCATGCCATTATTGATTCTTGATATTCAAGCATTTAGAAATTAGCACATTTGTTTTTCCTTTTTTTTATTATTAACATTTCGTTTGAAATGCATATCCTTCCTGAAATACTTTATTTTTAGCATAAATGTTGTGCATTTTATCTTAGTGTTTAGATTAAAACATTTGTGTTATTTAGCTTTCTTTCATTTGCTTTGTATATTTAATAATGTACCTTTTATTTTCCAGTATGCCTTTTTGTATTGTACAATAAATTTATTTTAAGCTGATTTTATTGGTTTTTTTTTTTGATGAAAGCAACTCTAGCATTTTAAGTACAAGTAGTTGAATTTTAACAAAAGATTTGCTTTATCAAGATACTATTAAAATGTTTTATATTTTTAATTCTGAGGATGTTGTGAAGAGATACTAGAAATACTCAAAAGGGCTTTGTTTGATTTTTTTATTTTTAAGCAAAGTATAGAGTTAGTGGGGCTTTTTGAGGGAGAGGACATTTCCTATTGGTTGTACTAGAAGTATTTGAATAAAGACTTTTCACCCAATTTTTTTTTTGTTGTTTTTCCATTTGACAACTTAAAAAAAAAAAGTCTACCCTATATGCTGTTTCTGCTTTCTGAGGAAGAGTATCACTGATGTTATTCACTGTGTCACTGTTGTTTTATCTGTTGTCTAGCTTAGGAAAATCATATTGCTAAATCAAATGAAGAATATCATAATACTACTTTAGAATTGTCATTCACAGTAGAATTTGTATTAGAGTGGAATAACTATAATATAGAAATTCATCTTTACTACTTTTTAAGGATTTTAGTTTTCAGAAGGAACTTACTTCTTTCTGTTATTGACACAGCATAGTCCAAATTATAATGAGGCTTCATGCATTATTGGTCAAATACAGTACAGTTGACTCTCAACACAGGTTTGAACTGCATGGGTCCACTTATATAATTTAATTTGTAGTACAGTACTGTAGTATATTTTATCTTCCTTATGATTTTCTAAATTTTTTTTCTCCAGCTTACTATAACATACAGAATGTGTTTTAATCACCTGTTTATGTTCTTGGTAAGGCTTCTGGTCAGCATAGGCTATTAGTAGTTAAGTTTTGGGAGAGTCAAAAGTTATGTGCAGATTTTCAACTACATAGGGTCAGTGTCCCTTACCCACCCCAACATTGTTTAAGGTCAACTGTACTTTAAATATTTCTGTTTGATCATATCTATCATTTGTATCCAGAGAAGATGTCCCAAATAGACTGTAGAATTTTAGAACTATTTGAAAGGGAAATACCATTGTTTATAAGAACTGGTATTTATCTGTGGGATTTTTGATAAAGTTCTTTAGGGACTAGTAAATACGGAGTTCAAGTGTCAGGATATATTCAAAATATAATGTTTATGATTGCTTACTTTTAAAGATACATTTGGAATTTTTTTGTTGTTGTTTTAATCCATTTAAAGGAAAGGGAGAGGTGACTCAACTTGGTGGTCTTGGTCTGACAGTGTAGAGTTTTATAGGCATGTATGTATGTGGAAAGAAACACTGATACATACTGATACACCAGTCTTTATATATAATGTGTGCATGTTTATATGTATGTGTTTGTGAGTATATCTATCTGTGTCTGTTTATCTGTCCATCTATCCATTCACCCATCCATCCATCCATCCATCTTCTGAAAATCAGCAGCAATCCTTTCCACATAGTATGTTATGTGTAAATGGTTCTTTGCTTATTCCTATTCCAAGTTTTATCATAGAATAACTCTTAACATTTTTGCTGCCCCCAGGATTTATAAAATATAAGATATTTTACTTGTTCATTTTAACTCTAAAGATTGTGCTTTCTTTTTTTGTGCCCTTTCACTACCTGCACTGTCAGAGTACGAGTAACAGTATTGGGGAACTCCATAAAAGGGAAAGCAAGAACATGAAATTTCATGTGGAAAGTTGACTTTATGGCAGTTTCCAAAATTTATTATACGGAAGGATTATATTCAACTTAAAAAAATAATGTACTTCTCATTTTGAACACCTTATGGAATAGTTTTATTCCAAAAATTGTGCACAATTTTTATTTTAAGAATGTACTTTACGTTTCATTTGTTAAAATTTGGGTGTTTCTCCTAACCAATCTTGAAAATGCTAGAATGCAATTTTTTCAAAAAGTAACATGATTTCTGTTCCATTCCTTTACCATTTTATATTAAATATAATATTTACATTGTGTAATAAAACCAAAACCGGATGTTGGAGATAGAGCTATTATGAAGTATCATGGCCCATCCTTCAGATTTTCACTTAGATTTATTCAGGATAGACTTCACCTTAGTCCATTCTCTGTCGTGGAGATCAAAGGCAAAATTAAACAGGAAAATATATTCAAGGGGTGCCTGGGTGGCTCAGTTGTTAAGCATCTGCCTTTGGCTCAGGTCATGGTCCCAGGGTCCTGGGATCGAGCCCTGCATATCGGGCTCCCGGGCTTCCTCTCCCTCTCCCCCTGCTTGTGTTCCCTCTCTTGCTGTGTCTCTCTCTGTCAAATAAATAAATAAAATCTTTAAAAAAAAAAGAAAAGAAAGTAAATTAAGTTCAACCACTTTTATTTCAAATTGTTAACATAATTTAAAACATTTGTTTCTTACACTGCATAGAAATAGAAGGAATTTAGTTGGACTGGGAGAGGTTCTTTTCTACTTCTCTCTTCCCCTGCTCAAGTAGTTTATCAAAGTGAATTCCATACAGACTTGAAGAAATTTAGAGTTACACTTAGTCTGTTTTAGTTGAGTTTTTAAAACTACTATAAAGGCATCTAGAGCAAAGTCTATCCAACATAAAACAGAGCTGGCAAAACCTGATGTTAAGGAGTCCTTAATTTCTTAAATAGTAATAGAAAAAGTACTTACTTTTTAAATAGATGATGTTAAGGAGACTAATCATAAATCTTTGTATTTAATGAAGTGATTCTATTATACTATAGTTTTAAAATGTTCTTTTTTATTTATATTTTGAAATATAAAAGGTCATTAATTTTAAGGTTGACTTTACCATTTGTTTTGTATATTTTAGATCCACTATAGTGATTTTTAGAATCTGTAGCTGTAGAGATTTTTAAGATATGCAAAATATGTAAAGCCTATGTTGATTAAGCTTTTATAATGGCTTTCTAATCAATTATATTAACCTTTAACTAAAATGAATGACATAAATTAGCACTTGCGTGTGTTGCTTTTTTTGGTGGTATCTGTGGTATTTTTTTTGCATAAATTACTTTTTATGGAGAATTGTTACGTATGAGGTAAAAAATAAAAAAAACAAATTTTGATTCTTGGTGCCAAATGCTGTGATGAACTCCATACAGTTCAGTATGGAGGCTCACAAGAAAGAGTAATCAAGTGACAAATTTTGCCAATTGATCTCATAACACCATTATTAGACTTAGAACTCTAAATCTCATTTACTAACTCAGAAATATTTAATTAAATCTCAGTGATAAAGAACAACTTGGTATATCTATTTTTAAGCCAAATTTTAATATCTGAGGATTTGATTTTTCTGGACATAGTATTATTAAAAATAATGATTTTTTTTCATTAAGTTATTTACCTTGCTGAAATACTTCCAATGCTAATACCTCAGATGATTGAAATTATTTATCTGGAAGGCTTAGCTTTTAAAAGGAAAAGTTCTTACCTGAAATAGTTTTAGATTTGTTTCCATATTAACATGACTGGTGATTTTTGTTTATATAATAAAAATCTCCTCTGTCCAGTAGTAATTCCACTTGAAGCCCTGAGTTATGTTTTAGTTCATATTCTGTAAACAGCTGAAGAATTTATTTTATTTTTAAAACATAGTTCAAACTTTGTAGTTCTTTGATGTTCTTTCATTTACCATAATCTTGTAATTTATTAGAATTTCATAATTGAGGGGCGCCAGGGGGCTCAGTCAGTTAAGCATCCGACTCTTGATTTCAGCTGAGGTCATGATCTCAGGGTTGTGA